TTCTTTCCATTAAGTCTATCTAGTTGGCATTTTTTAAATTTTCTTTAATGAGAATGTGCATAAAATAAAAATTTAGGGATTAAAAATGTGTAACATATATTAATTTAGGGACAAAAAATGTACATAAAACAAAAGTTTTAAGGACCAAAAAATACTAGCTATATACACTTAGGACAATGATATGGACACATAATAGTCAACACCCAAATTAACACCCATCTGACCGATAAAAGTAAACTGGCAAATTTACTCTCCTCACAGCAAAACTCAATCAAGCCCGCTTCCCTTCATTCCTCTGTTTTCCATCACCACCACCTTCTTCCTCTTTTTTCTTTTTTTCTTTTTTTTACATTTTTTCTACTGGGTTCTCGGAGAACCCATGAGTTTTTAGGGGGAAAAAAAAAAGAGATGAATTTGAGGGAGAAAGTAAGTTGGATTTTCTTCATATCCAACTCCAACCTACAACTAGATTGAACAAAAATCAAACCAAAAAACAAAAGATTTCTGTTCCCTCAGTCTTTCTTCACCCCTAATTAACACTGTCCTTTTGGATTTGAGAATTGAAGAATGAAAATAATGATGAATATAAAAAGAGAAAGAGAGAGGAGTTGAAGGGCGTTGAAACTTGAAAGTGGCTGCCTTTCCTAAAAGCATCGACAAGCTTGGTACCGTCCAAAAAGCACCTCAAATTCTATATTCTTTCACATGCTTGAAATTGCCATATTAAATCAAGTATACATGCGCAGCAAGTATACAATTTGAATCTGGTTTCGGGGAAGGAGAAGAGTGCTGGGATTTGTTCTTGCCGTGTCATTTGCAAAATGTTAGGAGGGTAAATTTGTCATTTTACTTTTACCGGTCAGCTGGGTGTTGATTTGGGTGTTGCCCATTGTGTGTCCATATCATTATCCATACACTTAATGTACAAAAAAGACGGAAAGACAAAAAAGAAAGGAAAAAACATTTTTCATAGTTGAGGGATGTAAAAAGTGTAAAAAATAGTTTAGAGACTAAAATTATTCAAAATTAAAAGTTTAGAGGCTAAATTTGATATTTAGCGAAAGTGAAACAAGCACCAACACTGACCCATCCCACCTGCAGCTGGATCAAGTCCTGCCTAGCAATGAAAATGAAATGATCAAGCCCTACAACTCTAGATCAATGAATTACTTTAGAGAAAAAAAAAAAGAAGAAGAAAAAAGAAAGAAAGAAAGAAAAGACACTCTTTTACTGGAAAGCTAATTTTGAACGGCAAACATGTAAATTACAGGAAACATATTCTTTTTATTAGGTCACC